ATCCACATTCTCAGTGTCCTTAGGAATGATAACAAATTTCTCCAGCAAATCTTGATTCTTTCATATACTTTATTTGCTTATTTCAGATGACCTCCATCTCAATTACTATTTTACAGAATACATCATAAGACTTCTCGTACACTGATGCTCTTGTTGCTTCTTCGTCTCTCTGGTGAGAAATATTGTATAATTGCAGTAGCAAACTTTGTGATAGCGGATTTCCAGAGCTACACAGTCTTTCCCCTGGATTTATACGAGTATCCATTGATCATTCTTTCTCTCGGCAGCTGTACGTAGAAGACCAGCATCAATTGTTTCTGCCAACATGAGTGGGGTTCTTCTCTTCTTAGAATTTTGCCTGGTGTGAAACAAAATAAATTATTAAACTAAATATCTACTAATAACAAGGTTAGATGTTTGTAGCATAGAAACTACTTTACCCTAAGTAAACTTAATTGATCACAATTCAATATATTTTAAAACCAAACCTGAGAATGTTGTGCACATTGCGCTAGTATTATACCTATCAAAATGACCATACCTTGTCTAGTGAGAACCACGAGGCGTCTCTTCCACAAATAATACATATCTCTGGGAGTACATGCGCGTTTCTTTTAGGCAGGGCCTTTATATTTATAGCTTCTGCGACTGATTGACGTGTAATTTTTCGCCTTGGTTCTATTGTCCTCCACTTCCACATGTGATTCTTCGGTAGAAGTTACAGTTTTACAGCTAGTTCCTTCTCCTTTTCTTCTTTTCTCTGTTATCTACAGATCTTCTCTTCATCACAAAATCTCTTCCAGCATTTCATATTCATGATGGTTCCATTCTAAGTTAATGGTGTCAGGGTTCTTCTCATCTGGTGAAGGTTCCATTCTCAGTTAATGGTGTCAGGGTTCTTCTCATCTGGTGATGGTTCCATTCTAAGTTAATGGTGTCAGGGTTCTTCTCATCTGGTTCTATTCTAAGTTAATGGTGTCAGGGTTCTTCAGATCCGTCATCGATGTTCTCGTACCGATTTCTTAGCTATATCAGCTTGTTGACATTTAAGTTTGGCCCATTTTGACCTACACTCAAGAAATTTCTTAAGCCTTTGGCGTGTAACTTTGCAAAGTTGCTCCGTAACGCCATCAAAATGCATAAAACATGAGGATATTCGAGTTTATAAATATCTTCAGCCATGTTTATTTGCATAACTGAGCGTGTTTCCACTTCGAAGCATGTGCGTTGGTTAAGCGCGTGCGCAGTGCGAGTTTGGGTGAGTTGCGCATGCGTATTTGCTATCAAAACAATGGCGGTTCGAATATTTCGAAGCGCGAAAATATCAAACTTTGGAGGGTTTTTTCTCCCAAATGTGCACCTGTTTCGCTTGGGGAGCAACGGATTCTGATAAAGTAAGTTTTTATCTATTTATTCATGTGAAAATTACGTAGTTACACGAGGGGTGCAACGGAATCCGTTTTCTAAGCATCTTTTGGATGCTCATCCTACGGCCTATATAACTCCATATTCAGATATTCTGGAAAAAAGATAGGATATAATTTTTTTAACGATACAAAATCCGCTTTTTGACGATATAGAATCTTTTCAGGAACAAATATAATTTATATCATAACATGTTATTCTTTTTAAACCTGAAGAAATATTAATTTTGCTGCGCTTGTGGTCTGATTTACTTATAGATACACAATATTTGCAGCTTAGATGTAGTTTCGTTATAAATGTTTGTATAATATTAATCCGATAAATAAATGCGTGTCCACTGAGGGACTTGAACCCCTTTCTTCAGAACTTTTACAGCCCAACGCCATTATTATTGGGTCACCAAGGCTTTAAAGTTTACGTGAAATAAAAATCATATTATAACGAATAAATTAAAATGTTATGCACCATCAAAATGCCAAAACGTGCTCTGTCTATATATATATATATCACATCAAGATCACATAATGTTCCACATCCTCACTCCTCCTCACACTCGCGACTATGATAATATTAATTCCACACCCAAACTAAAATTTAGGTACAACTTATATCTGAAACTTGCCAGTCTTGTTATATGACGTCATAGATACATTATGCTCCACACTCGCACTCTTTCTTACGCTATCCCCTTCAGTAAATCTATGCAAAAGATGATGCGCCGCCTCGCGATACCTCAAGTACCGCCTCAAGAACCGGTTCGGTATCCACCTATATTACAACTTGCCTTCGTTTGTGTTTATGTGCGAGGAGAACAAAACCTTCAGGCTATCGATGTTCAGTGACACATAGTTATGTGATTGTGTGATAGATTTTGCTTTGTTACAAAGTTTAATCTTTGCGTTGCATGGTGGTATGGGTATGTCTTCCCTGCAATTTTATGGAGTAAAGGACATGTTTTGCAAACATGTATGGCTTGAATTAACACTTGAAAACATGCTAGCTTGGGAAATAACTAATTTCTTGTTACTTTAAGATCACATTTAATGACTAATCAGAATTATATTCTGCCATGGTAGTTTTGCAGGGATTTCGTAGATATCCTTCCATTTATCAACGCATTATTTGCAGGTTAGTAATTATTCGCTGGATAAAAATAGTTTATCGGCAAAATCAGTTAATTAATTGAATGAACATTTCAAACCATTTTACGAAGCGATTGAAGTTAACTTTTACGTCAATTTCAAAAAACATTAATAATTCATGAGGAAATACACAGGGAAAAATCATAAGCGTGTCGTATATTTATACGTGATAGAGATATCCCTTGGTTTACATAAACGTTAACTATAGTTTTTTTATTTGCGCGCAACGCCAAATACTATGTTATCGAATGGAAATAAAGTACTTGATAATTTTATCAGAACAGCTCACTTGCAAGGCAATCTTACATAAATTCATTAGTATGGAAAATGACCTAACAGCTACAATAATCATATATTATATATGGATGGATCAATGGCACACAATTTGTGTGCCATGACACAATGTACAAAATTAAACTTGTGGTCCTTCTAATTCTACTCAAACCGATTTTCTTTCACAAAACAAATTGTTTTTGTGTGGATATGCTGTGTTAAATCGAATAGTGTGGTATATCATTATCTGTGCACGTACGACTGGTATTGTTTCATATACTTCAGTCATGACCTTTGAAACGTTCTCTACTGTTCACTGGTTTTTGATATATGATTGCCTTCTTTGCTACAGTAATGCAATGTTACTTAAGCTTATAGTTTGTGAATGTTACTCAAGAGTTAACATCGGCAAGTGTAAAGAACAAGTGACAGAATTATTGCCTCGTATGATTGCAATAACGTTTTGCATGAAATTTTTATTTCCTGGCAACATAATAATCCGTTACAATCACAATCGCGTTATAATATTAGTTAAATTTCTTGGTGGGGGCGTTGGGTGGGTGGGGGAATTGCCCCTGCTGCTCCCCCATCTGTGTACAGCCCTGTTAGATGTGTATTATGTTTCACTTTGAAATAAATCTTAAGCTAATTTATATATATTATAAATTTAAGTTAATGGGCAGTGCTGTCCACAAATTTAGTCTAATTTATATGACAATCGATTTGAATATTTTGCGTGCGGTACAAAGGTCACAGACCCGCAGCTGTCATTTGTATCAAAGGTCATCTTTGTATTGGCAAAGGGTACACGTGCACATCTCATGACCAATTATCTTTCAGCCAATCGAAATATATGTTTGATGGCATCAAAACATGTAACCAATCATAATTCGGTTAAGCCGGTAAAATAGACCAAATACACCTGAAAGAGATCACTTGTTTCAAAGTCATAACAAAGTAATGCTCCAAAGCTACTGTAACATTTTCAGATAAACCGGGTGCGAAATGAAAATTTAACTACCTCGGATGATCAAGAATTGCGCGGGGTATCGCACGAATTAAATAACACGATCTAACACTACAAAGATGGATTTGATGTTGGAATCGATATTACGATATATGTAGCGTAGGTTAAAGTGGTTAAAGTGAGACGTTATGAACTTATGGCAAACAGTATTCAACGGCGCAAGCACGTGTATTTTATATTTTTCTCATTGACAATGGTCAAAGGAATATGTTGCCAGATTCATTCAAGTAGTGACAATTCGACCTTTAGCAGTAACAGAAACAGAAGCTGGCGCTGGGGAATTATAAAAGAACGAGTCGCCAAGCGCACTACAGCTGGTCTGTATGCAATATCATATCATGTTTGCGCGCTTGTCAATTACGGGTATCGTAAGTAAAAGTTTGCTTCAGATTTCGTTTAAAACCAAGCAAAAAATTGTAAAATTCGATCTGGTATAAAATTCTGGCATAGGCTAACATTTGCCAGAACGATATATTTTCTGTTTGTAATCCAATAGAGTTATATTTCACTGTGAATTTGATCTTCGAATCGACTCAAAGTTCAAAGTTTAAGCGCAATTAATTTTAGAGTACTCATTGTATATTTGGGAATGCGTTTTCATCCTAACCTAATTTTATAATTCCTTTTGTTAAAATCCAGTAGTGGTTTGAACTACATAACGTATAGCTGAGCAAAGGCTTAGAAAGAGAGCCCATATATGCAAGAAATAGTAATTATAAATTTCCACGCTGTGTACAGTAGATGGATGATTTGGGAGCATTTTAATTTAAAACAAGACGCCTGCTCAGGCGTTCACACTGGCCTGAAAATAACGAGATACGTGCTATGGTGCAAAAGGCAGGAATACAAATCTTAAACCGCAAGCAAATTTTATGGACTTTTTTTTTAAAAATAAAAGACCTTTTCGGGAGACGTTAATGGTGCAAGTCAATAACTAGGAGTTACTATCGCAAGGAAAGTGCTGCCTTTTTGGCGTATGAACTGAATGCAATTATGCAAAATTTTATACTTCTACACAATTCTTGGTTATATCCCCAATGTTTCCTTCTCGTTCATCATTTAAGCCCGTTCACAAACTCATTCTTAAATTGTGTGCACGGAAGGATTAGCCGTTATGAGAAGGATTAGCCGTTATGCAGGATGAACATGTTTTGAATCACTCAAGCAAGAACTCGTCAGAAATAATACAAAGCAAGGAAATAAAAAATGTAAACGTTAACAGCACCTCCAGTCATGTAACTATTGTACATGACACAACCTCCTCGGCTATGGAAACAATACCCAATCAAGACAAACAATATGACTACAATGTCCATTGCCCGTTTGGTAATAGCGATCGACCTTTAACAGAGATCATCGAATTGTGTGAAGATGTAATTAGTATCGATCCAGATAGTAGTTTAAACAAAACCCTGCAGGAAAACTGTTCATTACTTAAAACCCCAACAAAAGACCAACAAACTGTTACATTAAAATCAACCCACTGTAATGAAGCAGCGGAATCAGGGTGTGAAATTAATACTATTACTAATCTGGCGAATGGCGAATCTCTTGCTCCCGAAACACACCAATCGAACGAAGAATTGTCCCATTCCATGCCAGCGAAAACAGTTAATTCAACTTTAAAAACACAATCAGAAAAATCGGGTCCCTCCCAACAGGTCAGGGCAAAAAGCAGTGAATTAGTTTTCGGACAAACGCCAAAACAAAACACTGCAAATAAGGTCAAAGGTCACAAGTCAATCAAGTGTACAAAACGTTTATCGAAAGAGATATATTACGAAAACAATATATCTGGGCTAATCGATAAAAGTGAAATAAATTGCAACCCAGGGGTGCCTGTCAGACATGCGGAGTGGGTGGGACGGCTACCTTTGATTGAATCTTCATATAAGTCTGCATCGTTAAGAAAATCTACGACTTTAAACGATTTCCAGCGATCGTGTAAGAGAAATTTTCGGAAGAGTCGTTCAAACCACCGTCCCCGGGACTGGCAGAGGTACCTCGAATTTGTTCGGAAAACGTTACATCCTCGTGTGACTCGGCCTCCAATTCGTCTACGAACAACAAAATAATTCCTATTGTTATGTCACAATGTCGGACCATAAGTCATCGCATTGCAAGTTACAATAATATACGTAAACGAACTAGTAATCCATGCAACCTGGTAAATGTCCCTGTAACTACTAGTAACCTGGAAAATCACCGAGACTACTGCGCTGTTCCATCTCTCTTTGTTAACAATGCCTGCCACATAGCAAACAAGGTGGACGAACTGTCAGCAGTGGTTGCGATAAACAATCCCTCTGTAATTTTGGTTACAGAATCCTGGTTATCGTCTGATATTCCGGATTCTATTATTAACATAGGAAATACTTACAATTCATATCGACTCGATAGACCAACGCCAGGTGGTGGTATTTTAGCATACATTAAATCTGACCTACCTGCTAAACGCCTTCCTGAACTAGAAGAGGAAGGAAAAGAAGCACTCTGGCTATTATTAAAACCACCCAGAACACCGAGACCCTACAGTTCCGTCATTGTAGTAGGCGTATACCACCCTCCAGGTCAAAGTAAAGAGAATGAACATGAGATGTTGGACTACCTAACTCAAAAGATGGACATTTCTTTAGCTGAGCGCCCTTCTGCCGGCATATTTGTAACTGGGGACTTCAACAAGTTGGACTTGAACCCTTTGTGTCGCCGTTTCAATCTACGCAAACAGGTCAAGTCGCCCACGAGAGGAAAAAACATTTTGGACCAGATACTTACCAATATGTCGGATTTGTATGACAAAGTTCTTCACATTCCACCCATCGGACGTTCCGATCACCAATGTTTGATCTTACCACCCAAAACAAGATAGAAGTTGCCCCCAGTTTCAAAGAAATATCGGCAAATGAAACCAGAGAATTTAAACGTTCTGGGACTGAAAATGAATCTTGAAGACTGGGAGAAAGTATATTCCGAATGGGATGTGGATGACAAGGTCTCAGTCTTTAACCATATCGTTATCTGTATGCTTGATGAAGCCTTACCCGTGAGAACAGTTCGCGCACACTGTACGGACAAACCGTGGATGACCCCCAATATTAAAGCGTTGATAAAAGCAAGACAGAGAGCATTTATGAAAGGGGAGACACCGAAGTATAAAAATTTACATGCAAAAGTTACCAAGCTGATATCCAACGCTAAAGCTACGTACTACAAATCCAAGGCTGAAGGCAACCATCAATCCAATCCCGCCAAATGGTATAAAACGATTTACAAGCTAGGCGGCAGCAACCGAAAATCAACAATCTCTGTCCTCGCCTGACCACGCTGACCTAATGGAAATCGCTGACAGACTACAAAGAAGTTTTACTAAGCCTTGGCTAGGAATTCAACCAGATCCTCCCAGACTTCAAGCGGTAGAGCATTTGCTCAAGGACAGCCACCCACCTCTACCATCCATTGGCCAAGTCAAAACCGTCCTAAAACACCTAAATCCTAGGAAAGCCACTGGGTCGGATAATATCCCTGCATGGTGTCTTAAACGGTACGCAGAAGAATTAGCACCAGTGGTCCACAATATTGTGGTTGCAAGCATAGTTCAATGCAAATATCCCACCTCCTACAAGCATGCAATCATTAGTCCCATACCAAAGATCCGTCCACCCACAGACCTAGATAATGACTTCCGCCAAGTTTCCGTGCTACCACAACTAGCAAAAGTTATCGAGAAGCTACAGCTGCAACTCAATAAATCCAGTTTCAAGATCAAAACAAACCAGCACGTCTTTACGAGCGGTCACTCCACCGTGTCTGCCCTTACCTCCATATCTCAGAACTGGTTCGACTCAACGGACAACTCCTCAACCGGTAGACAAGGTGTCCACGCCCTATTTGTTGATTTCCGGAAGGCGTTTGACTTGGTCGACCATAAGATCCTTCTGGACAAGCTTGCTGATATGAATGTAACAAGGAGTTTCTGGTTATGGATAATGAGTTTTCTGGAGGGAAGAACACAACAAGTAAATCTCCAAGGTGTACTATCCTTTACTGCATCATGCCCAGCCGGCGTCCCTCAGGGATCTGCTATCTCGCCGACCCTATTCAACATACACATTAACGATATGGAGGAAAATGTTTCTGAACAGGCATGTGTCAACACAATCAAATATGCGGACGATTGCACCATGGATACGTCCATAAGATTAGGAGAATCTAGCGATTTGCAAAGCGCTCTGGACTCAGTACAAAGTTGGGCTGTGGAAAATAAAATGGAACTGAATGCCAAAAAGACAAAAGATATGTGGATTAACTTCACCGAAGCACCGCCCCCTCTACCACTGCATATAGGAGATGCTATCATAGAAAGAGTCGATAATTTTAAACTCTTGGGAACCTGGTTTCAAAAGGACCTAAAATGGAACAAACATGTCGAGGAGACCACCCGCAAAGCAGCTAAAAACCTGTACTGCCTACGAGAATGTAGAAGAGCGAATCTACCAGTCGAAGTGGGTCTCACCACTTATTTAACTAAAATCAGGCCTATCCTTGAATATTGTTCTCCAGTGTGGGGTGGTCTGCCACGATATTTAAAGGACGAATTGGAACGTGTGCAAAGGAGGAGTCTACGAATTATTGGCCTCCCGCATGGTTACCTGCCAACTCTCGAAGAGAGAAGAATTGAAGCCACATCAAGGGAACTCGTTAACATCTTAGGTGATCCGAGTCATATCTTTTATCAACGAACTATGGAACATAATAAATATAACTATAATCTTAGGCGTAGA